GCCTGCAGGGGGCCCTGCTGCCCCCTCCACAGGGTCGGGGGGGCCGGGGGGGAAGTGTGCCGGTGGTGGTGGGGGGAGGCGGAGGGCGGGGCCGAGCCGCGGGAGGAGCAGCCGCCGGAGGAAGGCGAGGAGGAAGACGCGGGGGCGGCCGAGATTCGAGACGCCCTTGCCTCGGCCCTGAGGGGCTGATCGCCGGCGGACCAGCCGCTACGCCGAGCGGAGGGCCCAGCGGAGACGCGAGGCCTCCAGGTTGAAGCGTCCAGGGCAGGGGAACAAATGAACCAAGGGCGGGGAAAGACCCGGTGCCCCTGGGAGCTTTGTCATCTGGGAGGGAAGGCGCCGCTGGGCGAGATCAGCCTTCAATAAATCTTTTTTTCAGGACGTGGCCCATCTTTTCTGTAGTGAGCAAAGCCCCCCCCCCCCGAAACCGGGTCTGTTTTGTTGCTCTCTGTGTCAAGCTCGGTCTGGGGATGCCGGAAGGGTTAGGGTAGAAATCTCTCTCTGCCACCTGGACGTTGTTTCCAAAGCAGAACCAGTCCAGATGTGTCTTGAGGGGAAGGGCTGTCTCAGGCAGAGAGCAGAAAAGAGGAACTTCACAGACCCCCCCCCCGTGTGGGGTTCAGGAGCTAGCTTTACAACTCAAAGAAAAGCAAAGCCCTGGGCCTGTTCTTCTTGGCAGCCATGCTCAGAAACATGGGCCCGGAGGAAGGGGTCTCTGGGAACAGGAGGGGGCCACCTGGGTCCCTCTGAATCCCACCCCCCACCCCAGCACTTTGCCTGAGGCCGAGAGCTAAGTGGGGCCTTGCGGCTGGCTTCAGGACAGCCTCCCCTCCCTGAATGTTAGGAGGAGGAGCGTGTGCTTTCTGCTAGTGACCGGTACTAACCCTAGTGACTAGCTGTCCTCGTTGCTGATGATAAGGTCAGGCGTGCTTAGTCACCTGCTCCTTTGTGAATCTTGAAGCGCCCGGCTGACGCAGGATGGTAACAAAGCTCCAGGAAGTCGCACGCAGGAGCTAGGTTGGAGCTTGCAGGCCCTCCTGGGCTTTTCACCAAAGCCTGGAATCCGTCGGCTGAGCTTTGCCTAACAGGCACGCCCTTAGAAAAGAGGCCAGGGCCCAGGAATTGGTTTCAAGGATGCCCCGGCTCGCTTTTCTTCATCCCAGTGCCTCAAATGCCTGCAGGAGATCCTTGATCCAAATGGGCGGTGTTGAATGTTGATCTCGCCTCATTTTAGGCGAGTGCGTCTGGGTGAAGCTGTATAAGCCGTTCAGGGGCCTTTGCTTGGTAGAGCTCTTGATTAATTGTTGAAATGATTTCTGCTGGCGCTTTCTGGGGTTTTCGGTGCTCACCACGTTTTTCCTGTTGTTTCGTCTCAGCGGAGGAATGCAGGGCAAACACGGAGGGGGGGCTCTTGGTGGCTGCAGTTTGAGTGGGAGGATCTGCTATCTCCCGCCTGGAGAGATTTGCAGAAGCCAAGACGGGAAGGGGCTCCAGAAGCAATCCCAAAGACACGAAACATGGAGGCGTTTCAAGATCTTTAATGGGAAATCAGTTGGTGATGCGGTTTGCTGTGCACAGAGTGGGAAAAGCCCCGATCCCGTTTCCATAGTCGAAGCAAAACCTCCCCCCAAACTATGGAGTTCCTTTTTGTTTACTCTGGAGTAGGTAGCAGTTGGTTCACATGGAGTTCAAAGCGTCCCCAGATTGGCTGTCTGAAGGCTGGGAGGCAGCCTCGCCACAGCTGCGTTCCTCTTTGGAGGAAAAGCTTCCCACGTGACCCAGCCAGGTCTCGTGCCCCGTGTGCTTCTCCAACACCCCGCCTTGCCTTTTTTTGGGCCAGATCTGACAGTATTGGTATCTGTAAAGATTAAACATCCCACCTCTTCCCCCCACCCCCAACCAGCAAGATTATTTGGTAAAAGCTTGGATCCCCTGAAGGTGCCCTGCTCGAATCCGGTCCGAGAAGAGCAGCTGGCGGAGGAGCGGATTTGAGGTCTTTGCGTGTCCGTCCCAAGGTGGCTCCAGCAGGCGGCTGGATGGCCCCAAGTCCAGTCCTTGGTCTGCTGGTCCAGCTGCAGCTCGATGAAGTGTGTGCGAAGGGGTCTTAGAGGGACTGATAACCTGTGTGGGCTCGCCATCGGCCCACAGCGAAAGCCACCAGGACAATCACGATGAGGAGGCAGAGGACCAATCCCACAACTATGGGCAGGACGATGGAGCGTTTCTGCTCGGGACAGACCTCAGCTGAAAGGAACACAACAAGAGGCGGTGGTGTAGAGGCAGCGGGGGCAGAAAGGTGCCTGTTTCCCCGGCTCCTGTTGCGGGCCATGGAGGAAAAGGGGGCTCAAGAAGGTTCAGAGGAGACGGTTAAAGGCGGAAGGAAAAGTGAAAGGGGTCACTGGGTGGGGAGGCCTCTTGCAACCGGTGTTCAGACCGGCGTTTGTGAACCCGGGGAGAATCAGGAATTGCTGGGGAGGGGGAGTAAGGAGGAAGCAGAGCAGAAGCCGAGGGCAGAGATGGAAGGTTGCTGAGGAGGAGGAGGCTCCTGCCTCGCGGAGAGGGAGAGGGCTCTTACCTTCCCCAAACGTCCCCCCTTGTAGCTGAAAAGCCTGGACGCGCTCCTGCAGGGCGTTCAGGCGGAAGCCGTCGCTGAGGGCCACGCTGCGGTTGTGGCACTGGTAGGATTTTCCCAGGGGGGCCGCGAACTCCCAGAGGGAGGCGTTATTGGCGCTGAAGAACTTCTCTGGGGAGACAAAGCAGCGCTCTGGTGAAGAAGCGGTCCGCCTGCGCGCTGGCATCTGGGTCATCGGCAGCGGGAATCGGGATGGGGAAGGGGTGGGCTTCTTCAGGCTGTTTGGGGGACTGCTTCTCCCTTGGGATGTAGGCCCGTCCCTCCTGCTGCCTTATCCGCCTCCTAGGGTGGTTGTGAGGTTGGAAGGGGACTGCGCTGGGCAAGTCTGTGAGTTATTCCTGCTTCCGCCTAGCCCTTCCGCACCAGAGTGCCTTTGCAGGCCAAACATCCCGTTCAGGTGAAGTCCCACCCACTGCCCCCCAAAAGGGTCAGGGACTGGACCAAAAGGAGGAAATCCGGTCCTGCCCCCCCTTGCCCAGCGCTGCGTGCTCTGGAGATGAAGCCTTGTGACGACTGCTTGCGAAGCAAGGACTGGCTGTGGGCGGGACGCGAGGTTTCAGTGCCAATGCCAGCGTGAGCTCTGAGGGAGGCCTGATGGGTGCTCTGCGGCCAGGCCAAGTCTGAGAACATGGCTTTGGCTAGATGGCACTGCAGGCTGAGGATGGAGCAACGTCTGGCATCTCAGGCTCAAGGACCCCGGAGCGGTGCCCTATGGCCTAATTTCATGTTGCAAGCAGAATGTGCCCCCTGAAGACCACAAACCCCACAGGCCACCCCTTTGAGCAGAGACATCCCTGCATTGTGCCCCTCTGTCTCTGCCGAGGCTGCCTTGGGCAAAGGAGCGCTGCCCCAAAACTAATGATGGCTGCCCCACCCCCACCCCGAGCCAGACACCCAAAGCTGCTTACCTTTAGCCTGGGGAAACTGGTATGTCAGATTGGCCTGCACCTGGCTCAGGTAAGCCGTGTTTTTTGCATCATCCTGAGAGAGAGAAAATCGGGTTGGCTTGGCCAGAAACAAGAGCCAAGAGGGGGAGAGGCAAAGGCTGCCGTCCTCCCCCCAACTCTTCTGTTCTGCCCCCTTAGGGGTCTAGAGCAGCGTTTCTCCCCCTCGGCAGCTTTCAAATGTGGGGACTCCAACTCCCAGCATTCCCAGG